CCTGTCCCACATTCTCACACATAAAATGTCCACCTTGGTTCTGCTGCCTCGACACTTGCTGTAGATAACACAAGACTGCATATGGTCTCTCTCTCTCACACTCTCTTTCACTCTCTCTCACACACTCTCTTACATACACTGTCTCACATACACTCTCATACCTTCTAGTGCACTCTCTCTCTCTCACATACAGACTCACACACACACACTGTCTCTCTAACACACATAAACATACCCATATACTTAAAGACACAAGCCTATTCATGCATGCAGAGAAAGAGAGAGAGAGACTACTAGTCTGTGAAGCACATGTGAACATGTCCACTAAACACTGCTGTCTGTTGACCCCTGGCTAGGATCTGTGGCCCTGATCCATGGAGAGGTGGTCCACAAGAGTGAGCCCAACCGTTCAGACAAGTCCCGGCACGCCTACACCTTCCACATGTTTGACAGCCATGGAGTGGACTACAGCACACTCAATTGGTCAGTATTTCATAATTCCATACTTGTTCATCCTAGCACACCAGTCCGACCTTAGTGTCCGCTCAACATCCTAGCACACCAGTCCAATCTAAGTGTCCACTCAACATCCTAGCACACCAGTCCAATCTAATTGTCCACTCAACATCCTAGCACACTAGTCCGATCTTAGTGTCCACTCAACATCCTAGCACACCAGTCCAATCTAAGTGTCTGCTCAACATCCTAGCACACCAGTCCAATCTAAGTGTCTGCTCAACATCCTAGCACACCAGTCTGATCTAAGTGTCCACTCAACATCCTAGCACACCAGTCCGATCTAAGTGTCCACTCAACATCCTAGCACACCAGTCCGATCTAAGTGTCCACTCAACATCCTAGCACACCAGTCCGATCTTAGTGTCCACTCAACATCCTAGCACACCAGTCCAATCTTAGTGTCCACTCAACATCCTAGCACACCAGTCTGATCTAAGTGTCCACTCAACATCCTAGCACACCAGTCCGATCTTAGTGTCCACTCAACATCCTAGCACACCAGTCCAATCTTAGTGTCCACTCAACATCCTAGCACACCAGTCTGATCTAAGTGTCCACTCAACATCCTAGCACACCAGTCCGATCTTAGTGTCCACTCAACATCCTAGCACACCAGTCTGATCTAAGTGTCCACTCAACATCCTAGCACACCAGTCTGATCTAAGTGTCCACTCAACATCCTAGCACACCAGTCTGATCTAAGTGTCCACTCAACATCCTAGCACACCAGTCCGATCTAAGTGTCCACTCAACATCCTAGCACACCAGTCTGATCTAAGTGTCCTCTCAATATCCTAGCACACCAGTCTGATCTAAGTGTCCACTCAACATCCTAGCACACCAGTCCAATCTAAGTGTCCACTCAGCATCCTAGCACACCAGTCCGATCTAAGTGTCCACTCAACATCCTAGCACACCAGCCCGATCTTAGTGTCCACTCAACATCCTAGCACACCGGTCCGAGCTAAGTGTCCACTCAACATCCTAGCACACCAGTCCGATCTAAGTGTCCACTCAACATCCTAGCACACCAGTCCAATCTTAGTGTCCACTCAACATCCTAGCACACCAGTCCGATCTAAGTGTCCACTCAACATCCTAGCACACCAGTCTGATCTAAGTGTCCACTCAACATCCTAGCACACCAGTCCGATCTAAGTGTCCACTCAACATCCTAGCACACCGGTCCGAGCTAAGTGTCCTCTCAACATCCTAGCACACCAGTCCGATCTAAGTGTCCACTCAACATCCTAGCACACCAGTCTGATCTAAGTGTCCTCTCAACATCCTAGCACACCAGTCTGATCTAAGTGTCCACTCAACATCCTAGCACACCAGTCTGATCTAAGTGTCCTCTCAACATCCTAGCACACCAGTCCGAGCTAAGTGTCCACTCAACATCCTAGCACACCGGTCCGAGCTAAGTGTCCACTCAACATCCTAGCACACCGGTCCGAGCTAAGTGTCCACTCAACATCCTAGCACACCAGTCCGAGCTAAGTGTCCACTCAACATCCTAGCACACCGGTCCGAGCTAAGTGTCCACTCAACATCCTAGCACACCGGTCCGAGCTAAGTGTCCTGTGATGCAGCAGACCTCTGGATGTCTCCATGCTCACAAAACCCTGTAGCAGTTGACTGTTAGTTTTCATTCCTTGCCCCAAAACTGGTTTCTGCAAGCTTATTCTCGTTTAGAACCCATCTACGGCAGGCGGTTCATTGTCTCAGAATCTCCACAAAACACAACTTGTCAGTCTTTTTCTCTCCACAAAACACAACTTGTCATTACATTTTATCTCCAGAAAACACAACTTGTCAGTCTGTTTCTCTCCAGAAAACACAACTTATCATTCCTTTTAATCTCCAGAAAGCACAACTTGTCATTACATTTTATCTTTAGAAAACACAACTTGTCAGTCTGTTTTTCTCCAGAAAACACAACTTATCATTCCTTTTAATCTCCAGAAAACACAGCTTGTCGGTCCGTTTTATCTCCAGAAAGCACAACTTGTCATTCGGTATTATCTCCCGTAAAACACAACTTTTCATTTCATTTTATCTCCAAAAAACACAACTTGTCATTCCATTTTATCTCCTGAAAACACAACTTGTCATTCAATTTTATCCACCATTGAACACTTGTAGTCTCATCCAACTAAACTGCTGTTACACATACAGATGTATAGCAAGCCTGGCCTGTGATGTTGTATGTGTGGTGAACTGCTGTTACAAATACAGGTGTATATATAGCACGCCTGGCCTGTGATGTTGTATGTGTGGTGAACTGCTGTTACACATACAGATGTATAGCAAGCCTGGCCTGTGATGTTGTATGTGTGGTGAACTGCTGTTACACATACAGATGTATAGCAAGCCTGGCCTGTGATGTTGTATGTGTGGTGAACTGCTGTTACATATACAGATGTATAGCAAGCCTGGCCTGTGATGTTGTATGTGTGGTGAACTGCTGTTACATATACAGATGTATAGCAAGCCTGGCCTGTGATGTTGTTGTATGTGTGGTGAACTGCTGTTACACATACAGATGTATAGCACGCCTGGCCTGTGATGTTGTATGTGTGGTGAACTGCTGTTACATATACAGGTGTATAGCACGCCTGGCCTGTGATGTTGTATGTGTGGTGAACTGCTGTTACATATACAGATGTATAGCAAGCCTGGCCTGTGATGTTGTATGTGTGGTGAACTGCTGTTACACATACAGATGTATAGCAAGCCTGGCCTGTGATGTTGTATGTGTGGTGAACTGCTGTTACACATACAGATGTATAGCACGCCTGGCCTGTGATGTTGTATGTGTGGGGAACTGCTGTTACACATACAGATGTATAGCACGCCTGGCCTGTGATGTTGTATGTGTGGGGAACTGCTGTTACATATACAGATGTATAGCAAGCCTGGCCTGTGATGTTGTATGTGTGGTGAACTGCTGTTACACATACAGATGTATAGCAAGCCTGGCCTGTGATGTTGTATGTGTGGGGAACTGCTGTTACACATACAGATGTATAGCAAGCCTGGCCTGTGATGTTGTATGTGTGGTGAACTGCTGTTACACATACAGGTGTATAGCAAGCCTGGCCTGTGATGTTGTATGTGTGGTGAACTGCTGTTACACATACAGATGTATAGCAAGCCTGGCCTGTGATGTTGTATGTGTGGTGAACTGTGTTACACATACAGGTGTAAGCAAGCCTGCTGTGTACAACTGCTGTACACATACAGATGTATAGCAAGCCTGGCCTGTGATGTTGTATGTGTGGTGAACTGCTGTTACACATACAGGTGTATAGCAAGCCTGGCCTGTGATGTTGTATGTGTGGTGAACTGCTGTTACACATACAGGTGTATAGCAAGCCTGGCCTGTGATGTTGTATGTGTGGTGAACTGCTGTGGTGAATAGCAAGCCTGGCCTGTGTTGTATGTGTGGTGAACTGGTTGTATACAGCAAGCCTGGCCTGTGATGTTGTATGTGTGGTGATGTGTGGTGAACTGGCTGTTATGTTGTATGTGTGGTGACAGCTGTTACACATACAGGTGTATAGCACGCCTGGCCTGTGATGTTGTATGTGTGGGGAACTGCTGTTACACATACAGATGTATAGCAAGCCTGGCCTGTGATGTTGTATGTGTGGGGAACTGCTGTTACATATACAGGTGTATAGCATGCCTGGCCTGTGATGTTGTATGTGTGGTGAACTGCTGTTACACACACAGGTGTATAGGTCTCTTTAGCAAGATGATGAGATGTCCAGGTGGTAGGAATGTGCTTTCAGCTTTCACAATCTGTTTGTTCTATTGTGTTGACCATCTAACCCCAGGTTCATCTTCTTTCCTTTCCTTTTTCTTTTTCTTACAATACCAGGTCTTGGGTAGATCAGTGACCAAAGTTCTACAGCTATTAATCTGTCATGTGATATTGTCTCAGTCATTTGATGTTCTCTCTGTCAGGTGTTATTCTCTCTGTCAGTTGATGTTCTCTCTGTCATGTGATATTCTCTCTGTCATGTGATATTCTCTCTGTCAGTGATATTCTCTCTGTCATGTGATATTCTCTCTGTCAGGTGATATTGTCTCTGTCATTGATATTCTCTCTGTCAGGTGATATTCTCTCTGTCAGGTGATATTCTCTCTGTCAGGTGATATTCTCTCTGTCAGGTGATATTTCTCTCTGTCAGGTGATATTCTCTCTGTCAGGTGATATTCTCTCTGTCAGGTGATATTTTGTATGTCAGGGAATATTCTCTCTGTCAGGTGTTATTTGACAGAGTTTGTATTCCTATATTTCTTTTCCTTTCTCCTCTGCTAACCTTTGCATATATGTGTATGTGTGTGTGTATGTTGTTATGTCTTCTTGTACTGTTGTATTGTTTCCCACAGATCTTGCCAGCCTGTGAGATCCAACCTTTAACATAGTCATCAACTCGTTTCCCTTGTCCTTATGTATTTGATCCAGATTGTCCACAATTTCCTGGCCATGTCTTGTATAAACCTCTCACAACCAGATAAGTTCCTCATTATTACCTACTTAGTTATCCACCTATTTGGGCACACCATGTTCATCTATGCTAACCAGATGGGGTTTTCTCCTTATGTATTAGGCAGATTATTATTAATGTTTTATTTTTTGAATATGTGGAAGGAGTGTATGTGTTACTATGATCAGCATCTGAGTGGCTGTGGTCTGAGCTGGGAATGGGAGAATGAGATGTGTGAGTGACTTCTCCAACCCTCCATGTTAAATTGTAGGATAAACACGTCAGCATACCATGTGTTGTTGTTGTTATCAATCCAGCGGCGCATGAGCTTTCACTCTTTGGCCCAATGCCATGTAGTGGAATTTGCATGTTTTCACAAGTTGTTTTTTTCCTCCGTACAAGGTGTTCCACTTGTCTGGTCTCAGAGGGAGTAGCATTCTTCTTGTCTCGCTGAGTTTTGGGCACTCAAAGAGATGGTGCTCAACAGTTTCGTAGGGGTAGTTAAATAGCTGGCACTCTGGGGAGTGTTGTGGCTGTATTCTGTTTAGATGTCCATTGAGTGGAGTATGTTGCATTCTAAGTCTGAAGATGGTGACCTGGTCCCTTCTTGTTAGATGGTTAATGCTGTCATTAGGATAGCATACCATGTGAAAGAGACCCATGATAACATCAGCATACCATGTGAAAGAGACCCATGATAACATCAGCATACCATGTGAAAGAGACCCATGATAACATCAGCATACCATGTGAAAGAGACCCATGATAACATCAGCATACCATGCGAAAGAGACCCATGATAACATCAGCATACCATGTGAAAGAGACCCATGATAACATCAGCATACCATGTGAAAGAGACCCATGAAAACATCAGCATACCATGTGAAAGAGACCCATGATAACATCAGCATACCATGTGAAAGAGACCCATGATAGCATCAGCATACCATGTGAAAGAGACCCATGATAACATCAGCATACCATGTGAAAGAGACCCATGATAACATCAGCATACCATGTGAAAGAGACCCATGATAACATCAGCATACCATGCGAAAGAGACCCATGATGACATCAGCATACCATGTGAAAGAGACCCATGATAACATCAGCATACCATGTGAAAGAGACCCATGAAAACATCAGCATACCATGTGAAAGAGACCCATGATAACATCAGCATACCATGTGAAAGAGACCCATGATAGCATCAGCATACCATGTGAAAGAGACCCATGATAACATCAGCATACCATGTGAAAGAGACCCATGATAACATCAGCATACCATGTGAAAGAGACCCATGATAGCATCAGCATACCATGTGAAAGAGACCCATGATAACATCAGCATACCATGTGAAAGAGACCCATGATAACATCAGCATACCATGTGAAAGAGACCCATGATAACATCAGCATACCATGTGAAAGAGACCCATGATAACATCAGCATACCATGCGAAAGAGACCCATGATAACATCAGCATACCATGTGAAAGAGACCCATGATAACATCAGCATACCATGTGAAAGAGACCCATGAAAACATCAGCATACCATGCGAAAGATCCATGATAGCATCAGCATACCATGTGAAAGAGACCCATGATAGTATCAGCATACCATGTGAAAGAGACCCATGATAACATCAGCATACCATGTGAAAGAGACCCATGATAACATCAGCATACCATGCGAAAGAGACCCATGATAACATCAGCATACCATGCGAAAGAGACCCATGATAACATCAGCATACCATGTGAAAGAGACCCATGATAACATCAGCATACCATGCGAAAGAGACCCATGATAACATCAGCATACCATGTGAAAGAGACCTATGATAACATCAGCATACCATGTGAAAGAGACCCATGATAACATCAGCATACCATGTGAAAGAGACCCATGATAACATCAGCATACCATGTGAAAGAGACCCATGATAACATCAGCATACCATGTGAAAGAGACCCATGATAACATCAGCATACCATGTGAAAGAGACCCATGATAACATCAGCATACCATGTGAAAGAGACCCATGATAACATCAGCATACCATGCGAAAGAGACCCATGATAACATCAGCATACCATGCGAAAGAGACCCATGATAACATCAGCATACCATGTGAAAGAGACCCATGATAACATCAGCATACCATGCGAAAGAGACCCATGATAGCATCAGCATACCATGTGAAAGAGACCCATGATAACATCAGCAACCATGTGAAAGAGACCCATGATTTAGTTTACTTGCGAACTTGGCACAGGCTGGATTTGGGTGGGGGAGCCAATAGCCACAGAGTCAGTGAGACATGTTTTCATTCACCATGTCACAGTCAGTGAGACATGTTTTCATTCAGCATGTCACAGTCAGAGACATGTTTTCATTCATCATGTCACAGTCAGTGAGACATGTTTTCATTCAGCATGTCACAGTCAGTGAGACATGTTTTCATTCACCATGTCACAGTCAGTGAGACAAGTTTTCATTCAGCATGTCACAGTCAGTGAGACATGTTTTCATTCAGCATGTCACAGTCAGTGAGACATGTTTTCATTCAGCATGTCACAGTCAGTGAGACATGTTTTCATTCACCATGTCACAGTCAGTGAGACATGTTTTCATTCAGCATGTCACAGTCAGTGAGACATGTTTTCATTCACCATGTCACAGTCAGTGAGACATGTTTTCATTCAGCATGTCACAGTCAGTGAGACATGTTTTCATTCACCATGTCACAGTCAGTGAGACATGTTTTCATTCACCATGTCACAGTCAGTGAGACATGTTTTCATTCACCATGTCACAGTCAGTGAGACGTGTTTTTAGTTAACCATGTCACAGTCAGTGAGACATGTTTTCATTCACCATGTCACAGTCAGTGAGACCTGTTTTTAGTTAACCATGTCACAGTCAGTGAGACATGTTTTCATTCACCATGTCACAGTCAGTGAGACGTGTTTTTAGTTAACCATGTCACAGTCAGTGAGACATGTTTTTAGTTAACCATGTCACAGTCAGTGAGACGTGTTTTTAGTTAACCATGTCACAGTCAGTGAGACATGTTTTCATTCACCATGTCACAGTCAGTGAGACATGTTTTCATTCAGCATGCCACAGTCAGTGAGACATGTTTTCATTCACCATGTCACAGTCAGTGAGACATGTTTTCATTCACCATGTCACAGTCAGTGAGACATGTTTTCATTCACCATGTCACAGTCAGTGAGACGTGTTTTCATTCACCATGTCACAGTCAGTGAGACGTGTTTTCATTCACCATGTCACAGTCAGTGAGACATGTTTTCATTCACCATGTCACAGTCAGTGAGACATGTTTTCATTCACCATGTCACAGTCAGTGAGACATGTTTTCATTCACCATGTCACAGTCAGTGAGACATGTTTTCATTCACCATGTCACAGTCAGTGAGACGTGTTTTTAGTTAACCATGTCACAGTCAGTGAGACGTGTTTTTAGTTAACCATGTCACAGTCAGTGAGACATGTTTTCATTCAGCATGTCACAGTCAGTGAGACATGTTTTCATTCACCATGTCACAGTCAGTGAGACCTGTTTTTAGTTAACTATATCACAGTATCAGTAAAATAAAACTATGATGTTGAAAATGTGCACATGGGTATCCCAGCCTTAACTAGATGCTGCCAGAAAGCTATAGAATCGTGTTCCATTCTTTACATGAGTGGATGTGTGAGGTGATGTTACTGTGTGAGTATGTTATGGTTATACATGTTATGTGAGGTTATTTAACTGTGTCAGTATGTTATGGTTATACATGTTATGTGAGGTTATTTAACTGTGTCAGTATGTTATGGTTATACATGTTATGTGAGGTTATTTAACTGTGTCAGTATGTTATGGTTATACATGTTATGTGAGGTTATTTAACTGTGTCAGTATGTTATGGTTATACATGTTATGTGAGGTTATTTAACTGTGTCAGTATGTTATGGTTATACATGTTATGTGAGGTTATTTAACTGTGTCAGTATGTTATGGTTATACATGTTATGTGAGGTTATTTAACTGTGTCAGTATGTTATGGTTATACATGTTATGTGAGGTTATTTAACTGTGTCAGTATATTATGGTTATACATGTTATGTGAGGTTATTTAACTGTGTCAGTATGTTATGGTTATACATGTTATGTGAGGTTATTTAACTGTGTCAGTATGTTATGGTTATACATGTTATGTGAGGTTATTTAACTGTGTCAGTATGTCATGATTGTACATTTTGTGAGAGGTGATATTGCTGTGTGAGTATGTTATGGTTATACATGTTATGTGAGGTTATTTAACTGTGTCAGTATGTCATGATTGTACATTTTGTGAGAGGTGATATTACTGTGTCAGTATGTTATGGTTATACATGTTATGTGAGGTTATTTAACTGTGTCAGTATGTCATGATTGTACATTTTGTGAGAGGTGATATTACTGTGTCAGTATGTTATGGTTATACATGTTATGTGAGGTTATTTAACTGTGTCAGTATGTCATGATTGTACATTTTGTGAGAGGTGATATTGCTGTGTGAGTATGTTATGATTGTACATTTTGTGAGAGATGATATTGCTGTGTCAGTATGTTATGATTGTACATTTTGTGTGAGGCGATGTTACTGTGTGAGTATGTCATGATTGTACACTTTACCTGAGGTGATGCAACTGTGTGTGTATATGTCATGACTATACATTTTAAATGATGTGATGTTACTGTGTAAGTATGTCATGACTTTTGATTTTAAATGAGATGATTTTACAATTTAGGGATGTCATCACTGTACATTTTATGCAAGATGATGTTACTGTGTGATTATGATTGTATCTTATATTTTACATCCTTTGATGTTACTCTGTGAGCAGCTAATGATTGTATTCAAGATTATACATGATGTAATGTTGGTGGGTTCATTTTATCATTGTATTTTATGTTAGATAATTTTACTGTGTGAGTATGATTGTAGGCAACATTTTACATGAGGAGAAGTTACTATATGAGTACATCATGACTGCATACAACATACCTACAGTATTTCATGATTGTTTGCAGCACACCCACAGTATGTTATGATTGTATACATGACACCCACAGTATGTTATGATTGTATACATGACACCCACAGTATGTTATGATTGTATACATGACACCCACCTATGTATGATTGTATACATGACACCCACCTATGTATGATTGTATACATGACACCCACCTATGTATGATTGTATACATGACACCCACCTATGTATGATTGTATACATGACACCCACCTATGTATGATTGTATACATGACACCCACCTATGTATGATTGTATACATGACACCCACAGTATGTTAAGATTGTATACATGACACCCACAGTATGTTATGATTGTATACATGACACCCACCTATGTATGATAGTATACATGACACCCACCTATGTATGATTGTATACATGACACCCACCTATGTATGATTGTATACATGACACCCACAGTATGTTATGATTGTATACATGACACCCACCTATGTATGATTGTATACATGACACCCACCTATGTATGATTGTATACATGACACCCACCTATGTATGATTGTATACATGACACCCACCTATGTATGATTGTATACATGACACCCACAGTATGTTATGATTGTATACATGCCACCCACCTATGTATGATTGTATACATGACACCCACAGTATGTTATGATTGTATACATGACACCCACTTATGTATGATTGTATACATGACACCCACCTATGTATGATTGTAAACATAACACCCACAGTATGTTATGATTGTATACATGACACCCACCTATGTATGATTGTATACATGACACCCACCTGTGTATGATTGTATACATGACACCCACAGTATGTAATGATTGTATACATGACACCCACAGTATGTTATGATTGTATACATGACACCCACCTATGTATGATTGTATACATGACACCCACCTATGTATGATTGTATACATGACACCCACCTATGTATGATTGTATACATGACACCCACCTATGTATGATTGTATACATGACACCCACAGTATGTTATGATTGTATACATGACACCCACCTATGTATGATTGCAGGTTACTTTTGAACCACAGGGGCTTTAAAATAACCATGTCAAGGGTCTAGCTGATGGGGAGTGACACAACCCGCAGCTAGGCAACTCGCTGAAAAGAAAGTCACACAGACAACAAGCACACTTTGATAAGCTGATATTTATCAATAGACAAGGTCCTGTTTACTTTTCTGTCCCAGAAAGAGAGTGACTTCCCTTGCCATTCATACATTGCCATTTCCATTTACCCCTGTAACATAGGACAAGCCCAGTGTCATGGCAAATCATCAATGGAAAGGAAAGCCACTCTCTCTCTGGGGTGGAAATCATAAATAGGACCACAAACAAAGCAGAATACTTTATCACACACACACAGTGAACAGATCATACATTTAACAAATGAACAAAAACACACAAACAATCAAAGTTGAGGAAACTAAACATGTTCAATGACACCAGCTGATGTTAGATCGGTCAGTTGTCTGAGATTCCATTGTTCAGACATTCCATATGTAAACTGCTGAGGGACTGATCTCACTAGAATGTGCATCTCACATTTATACAGCCTTTCTCAGGGAACAGCATCACATAGACAACCCCCAGAACAGCATCACATAGACAGACAACCCCCAGAACAGCATCACATAGACAACCCACAGAACAGCATCACATAGACAGACAACCCCCAGAACAGCATCACATAGACAGACAACCCCCAGAACAGCATCACATAGACAACCCACAGAACAGCATAACATAGACAACCCCCAGAACAGCATCACATAGACAGACAACCCCCAGAACAGCATCACATAGACAACCCCTAGAACAGGATCACATAGACAGATTACCCCCAGAACAGCATCACATAGTTAAACAACCCCCAGAACAGCATCACATAGACAGACAACCCTCAGAACAGCATCACATAGACAACCCCCAGAACAGAATCACATAGACAGACAACCCTCAGAACAGCATCACATAGACAGACAACCCTCAGAACAGCATTACATAGACAGACATGCCCAGAATGGCTTCACACAGACAGACAACCCCCAGAACAGTATCACATAGACATACAATTCCCAGAACAGCATCACATAGACAGACAACCCTCAGAACAGCATCACATAGACAGACAACCCTCAGAACAGCATCACATAAGACAGACAACCCTCAGAACAGCATCACATAGACAGACAACCCCCAGAACAGCATCACATAGACAGACAACTCCAGAACAGCATCACATAGACAGACAACCCCCAGAACAGCATCACATAGACAGACTAACCCCAAACAGCATCACATAGACAGACAATCCCCAGAACAGCATCACATAGACAGACAATCCCCAAAACAGCATCACATAGGCAGACAACCCCAGAACAGCATCACAAAGACAGACAACCCTCAAAACAGCATCACATAGACAGACAACCCCCCAGAACAGCATCACATAGACATACAACCCCCTGAACAGAATCACATAGACAACCCCCAGAACAGAATCACATAGACAGATGTGAATTAAACAGGGATCTTGGTATAGTACATCATAGTTTAATCAACAAAAGAACACCTCATTACAAAAGATATTTCAGTAGAAGATTTAAGACAATCCCGCTACAGCAGCCTGTTTTGTCTCAAGACACAGTCTCAATACAGCAGCCTGTCTTGTCTCAGACACAATCTAAGTACAGCAGCCTGTCTTGCCTCAGACACAATCTAAGTACAGCAGCCTGTCTTGTCTCAGACACAATCTCACTATAGCAGCCTGTCTTGTCTCAGACACAATCTCACTACAGCAGCCTGTCTTGTCTCAGATACAATCGAAGTACAGCAGCCTGTCTTGTCTCAGACACAATCAAAGTATAGCAGCCTGTCTTGTCTCGGACACAATCTGAGTACAGCAGCCTGTCTTGTCTCAGACACAATCCAAGTATAGCAGCCTGTCTTGTCTCAGACACAATCTCACTACAGCAGCCTGCCTTGTCTCAGATACTATCCAAGTATAGCAGCCTGTCTTGTCTCAGACACAATCTCACTACAGCAGCCTGTCTTGTCTCAGATACAATCTGAGAACAGCAGCCTGTCTTGTCTAAGACACAATCCAAGTATAGCAGCCTGTCTTGTCTCGGACACAATCTCACTACAACAGCCTGTCTTGTCTCAGATACAATCTGAGTACAGCAGCCTGTCTTGTCTCGGACACAATCCAAGTATAGCAGCCTGTCTTGTCTCAGATACAATCTGAGTACAGCAGCCTGTCTTGTCTCGGACACAATCTCACTACAACAGCCTGTCTTGTCTCAGATACAATCTGAGTACAGCAGCCTGTCTTGTCTCAGACACAATCCAAGTATAGCAGCCTGTCTTGTCTCAGATACAATCTGAGTACAGCAGCCTGTCTTGTCTCGGACACAATCTCACTACAACAGCCTGTCTTGTCTCAGACACACAGACACAAGCCCACTACAGCAGCCTGTCTTGTTTCAAACACACAGACGCAATCCCACAACAGCAGCCTGTCTTGTCTCAGACACACAGACACAAAATCAGTACAGCAATGTGTCTTGCTTCACTGAGTGACAAGCTTGTGACAGTTTCCGTCAGTCAAGTCGCTGGGGCTAGACCTCACAATGATGGACTCACTGAGGTCGGCATATAGACACGTGTATATCGGTGCACTACAAACATGGGGGTCATTTAACATTATTATCTCACCATGACCTGTACCCCACAGTCGTGGGGGTCACCCAACCTGAGATCACCACGACCTGTAGGTGGACAAGAACGTAGGCCTATACACAACAAACACTGGGTCCCCCACTGTGATCTTGCCCTCCCGGAACACTGTGGCGTAGATGCCGAACTCTGTGCTAGGGAAGCTGTAGGGTATACACAAGGCCCCCTCCATGTTCTCGTGAGGCTCACTCTCGTGTCTCCACTCCATGTTTCTGGAGTCAAAGGCTTCTTCGATCAACCTGAAAAGTTGCAAGGAGCCTAGTTAACAGTACTGCACCCAGGGAGCCTAGTTAACAGTACTGCACCCAGGAAGCCTAGTTAACATTATTTCACTCAAAGAGCCTAGTTAACAGTACTGCACCCAGGGAGTCTAGATAACAGTACTGCACCCAGGGAGTCTAGATAACAGTACTGCACCCAGGGAGCCTAGTTAACAGTACTGCACCCAGGGAGCCTAGTTAACAGTATTGCAACCAGGGAGCCTAGTTAACAGTACTGCACCCAGGAAGCCTAGTTAACAGTACTGCACCCAGGGAGCCTAGTTAACAGTACTGCACCCAGGGAGCCTAGTTAACAGTACTGCACCCAAAGAGCCTAGTTAACAGTACTGCACCCAGGGAGCCTAGTTAACAGTACTTCACCCAGGGAGCCTAGTTAACAGTACTGCAACCAGGGAGACTAGTTAACAGTACTGCACCCAGGGAGCCTAGTTAACAGTACTGCACTCAAGGATCCTAGTTAACAGTACTGCACCCAGGGATCCTAGTTAACAGTACTACACCCAGGGAGCCTAGTTAACAGTACTGCATCCAGGGAGCCTAGTTAACAGTGCTGCACCCAGGGATCCTAGTTAACAGTACTGCACCCAGGGATCCTAGTTAACAGTACTGCAAATAAGGAGCCTAGTTAACAGTACTGCACCCAGGGAGCCTATTTAACAGTACTGCACCCAGGGAGCCTAGTTAACAGTACTACACCCAAGGAGCCTAGCTAACAGTACTGCACCTAGGGAGCCTAGTTAACAGTACTGCACCCAAGGAGCCTAGTTAACAGTACTGCACCTAGGGATCCTAGTTAACAGTACTGCATCCAGGGATCCTAGTTAACAGTACTGCACCCAAGCA